TAGGCACCCCATCCCGCGCACGCCTCTTTGTTTCAAATGGGTGGTTTTGCGGGACGTTCGTGGTCGACCCACCAAATCCAGCAGCCCAGAGGCGAAGAGGGACGTCACCTCGGGGTAAAGAGCGCTAGAGGGAAGCCTGGGCCCCTCAGGCCGCCAGTCCAGCGGCTGGGAAGAGGAAGGCCCAGCAGAGGAGGGCGAGGAGAGCCACTGGCGAAGGGAGGAGACAAGCAGGTGACACCGCGGAGCCCTTGAGGAAGCAGGGTCAGCTGGGGCGGGTGGCGGGGCGCAGGGGCAGCGCGGAGACTACAGCGGTGTCAGTAGAATGTGGGAGCAGACGTCCACGTGGGAGGCCCCAACTCAAGACAAAAAAGAATGAAAATACAAGCACGGGCTGGAGCTCCCCAGGGCAGAGGCTCAGTGAGGATTAAAAAAAAAAGGACGAGGAAAACTCAGTGGAAAAACTCAGCACTTAGTCATGAAAAAAACCCAAAACAAAACCGACCACACTTAAACCGGGAATAGAAAGGACCGTCTTTCCTCCGCTGAAGAGCAGCTGTAAAAACACTGCTCCTTTCTGCCTTGGCCGGGGAGCTCAGAGCATCGTGCCAGGACCCCAAGGTTGTGGGTTCGATCCCCGGTCAGGGGACATACAAGAAGCCACCAATGACTGCACAAGTGGGACAACAAATCTGTCTCTCTCTCTCTCTCTCTCTCTCAAGTCAATAAAGTATTTTAAAAATGGATGTTTTTCTCTCGGGTTGGGAGTGAATGGGAAATGAGGGAGAGATGGGCAGTGTAGACAACTCTTTTGAGAAGTTCTGCTGTGAAGGAGACTGGGCAGGAGGTGGGGGGCAGGGGAAGGGAGGGCCTTTAGGATGACACTAGAGCTTGTCTGTGTGACGACAGGAAGGAGCCGGCACAGGGAGGGTGTCAGTGCCATGGGGACAGCCTTGGGCAGGAGAGCAGAGGTGAGTGCTGAGCCCAAGTGGAAGCCGGGCATGCGGCCTGACCTCCCGTGGTCCGTCTCGCGGAGGCTGCAGGAACGGAGAGCCTCAGGCCAGGCTCAGGTGTAGAGGGAGCTGGCCCGCTGCCCACCCAGCTCCCAGGGCCGCAGCCTCCTGCTGACACTGCTGGGGCTGTGTGGCTGCTCCAAGACCTTCCCCCTGTCCCCTTAGAGCCTCGAGGCAGTGAACTCAGTCTGTCCCCGGTGTGGTGGCCCCCCCCGCGAATAGCCTGAGGCTGGCATGAGGCCAGTGTGCCCATCCCAGTGGCCCGGACACCCCCTCACCTGGCTGGTGATGTCTGAAGGCATGGGTGAGGGAGGCTTGGAGTAGGCGGCATCCTGGGAGACGAAGCCAGAGTCGTGGGAGGAGATGCTGGAGAGGCGGGCGGTGGCGGTGGCTGGCTGCGCCAGGCTGCGGTAGCGACAGGTGGAACTGGGTGAGTATGTTTGGGCACCCCCAGGCCACGGGGCTCCGCCACCCTTGGCACTGCCACTGCTGCTGGGGGCGCTGGGGGAGTGAACGGGGGGACAGCAGCCAGACAGGGAGACACGGGGGTGTGTGTGGGAGGGAAGGTGAAAGACGAGGGTGGGGAGACAGGTGAGGGGCAAAGGAAGGAAAAGACAATGTTAGACTACAAGGTCCTGAGACCCAGGTACCAGGGGAGCTGGGTTCTGGGACCGTGGGACAGGGTGGGCCTGGGCAGAGGACAGCACCAAAGACCCCCGGTCAGGGCACATACAAGAAGCCGCCATCAGGGCACGCCGGGGGCGAGGCGATCTCTCTGCCTCCTATGCTGCCATTAGAACAGTAGGCCTTAGGCCAGTGGTTCTCAACCTTCCTAATGCCGCGACCCTTTAATACAGCTCCTCATGTGGTGGTGACCCCCAACCATAAAATTATTTTTATTGCTACTTCATAACTGTAATTTTGCTACTGTTATGAATTGTGTTATGAATCGTAATGTAAATATCTGATATGCAGGATGTATTTTCATTGTTACAAATTGAACATAATTAAAGCATCGTGATCAATCACAAAATCAATATGTAATTATATATGTGTTTTCCGATGGTCTTAGGCGACCCCTGTGAAAGGGTCGTTCGACCCCCAAAGGGGTCGCGACCCACAGGTTGAGAACCGCTGCCTTAGGCTAACAAGGAAACGGAGGCGCCAGCTTCCAGTTGCGCTAGAACCAGACACAGGTCTGATCGTTTCCACACTGTCCTCTCAGAGTCTGACTGCCGTCAAACCCTGACTGGATGGTGGGGATGGTCTGTGTGGGTCCTGGACCCACCACTGCCTCGTCCCCTCTGCCCCGAGGTGCCCAGCCCTGCCGCTCACATCCTCTGCGCCCACTGCACCCCCGGGGGATGAGGGCTTCCTGAGTGTGACCCCGATCTCCCCCCCGCCCCGTCTCTGGTCAGGGGTGTCCCTGCGATCAGCACTCCCTCCTGTGATGCCACCACCCGGGTCCAGTATGCCCGGCCCTCCTCTCCCTGCAGCAGTGGTGCCCCGCCCAAGGGGGTGCTGGGGCAGGGGTGCCCGGCACAGGGGGCTCCCCCAGAATGAGAAACTTGCTCTGTGCTCACTGCCTTCCCACCCAAGGAGCCGTGATCCTTACACATCTTCTCCAAGTCCTGCCCCAGTGCCCGGCAACTAAGTGAGGCCGGGCTGGGGTTCGGGCCGTGGCGGCTGCCCAGGCACCAGTTCTCGGGAGCCAGCCAGCCGGAGCGCCTGTCAGCCGGAGGCCTCAGCACACGCTCCCAGAAGCCGCCACGCCTCTCCCCAACCTGAGATCCTTACGATTCCCCCAGCCTGTGCCAGGCCTGGCAGAGTCGATGGTTACCTGCTGGGACTCTGGGTCTTAGGTCTCCGTTTCCCCTTCTATGAAATGGGGACAACCCCAGACCCAACAGTGTGTTAGGATTCAGTAAGGAAAATGCACGGAGCATGGAGCATGGAGCACGGAGCACGGCCCCAGGCACGGGGTTGCTGCTCCCGAAATGTAGCTGCTCCCGCACAAACCCTCCCGCTGACCCCACCGGCCCTGTGCTGAGGGTGTCCTCTCCTCTCCACTTGCAAATCCCTCAGTGACACGGGAACTGTGAACTGTGGGCCCTGCAGCAACTCTTGCTGCAGGTTTGGTGGGAGCCTCTTCGTGCCTGCCCCCCCACTTGACTGCACATGCTGGACTTGCGGGAGCTGGAGCTGCCGGGGCGACGAGGGGTGGGGTCTGGTAGGACCCAGCTGTAGTCCGAGCCCTTCAGGTCTTTGATCACCTGACAGGGACAGGGACAGGGATGGAGGTCATGGGCCGTATCATTTCCTGGGGTCCCCCAGAGGGCTGGCAGGCCCAGGGCCCCCCTCCTCTCTTCTCAATTGAGAACCCGGCCCCCACAGGAGACCCCGGGAGTTTGAAGCTCCCCAAAGCCCCCCTAACCCTTTCCTAATAAAAGCTCCTCACTTGGGGGCGGGAAGCAAGGCTGCCAGAGGGCTGGGGGGATGCCTGGGAGATTCCGCTGTTTCTCAGGGACGCTGCCCAGGGGGCCAGGCTCAGTTCACACACAGAGTCAGCTCTGAGCCCGGCCCAGGCCGGGCCGGGGATATGGGAGAAGCAGGGCCCCTGAGGACGCGCTGTCGCTGGCAGGGGAGCCAGGTGAGAGTGACCAGGAAGGACACCAGGGGGTTCGAATCCTGGCTCTGCTGTGCCCCTCAGGCAAGTTGTAGACCTCTGAGCCTCCGATCCCTCCCGTCTTGGAGGGTGATGCCCTGATGGCCTGGAACGTGCTCAGCAGTGCTGGGCACTGAGTGCCCAGGAAGAGCAATGCCACAGGGCTGCCCGGGGGCTGACCTGGCGCAGTGGGAGCATGGTGGGGGGGTGAGGCGGGCAGGGTCAGGGCCAAGCCCCATGAACCTGGGGCTTCTGTCCATCTGCACGCAGTCTGAGCCCCTACTGGGTCCTGGGGTACATCACCCCTCACCTGGGCAGGTGCCCCTGGATGCCCCACAGTGGGTGTCAGGACACGTCCGGTCCTTTGTCCTCAGCAGTGTCCCCTAAATGCTGTCCCCCTTCCTCCTCTACGGTCCCCAACCAAGGGCAGGCCGTCCCCCTGCCCCACCCTTTCCCTGTGCCCAGGCCTGGCCATACCTGCTCGCTGGCAGGGGGCAGCTTGTGGGGCTCTGCGGTCAGCACCACCAGGTCGTCGATGATGCCCTGCAGGTGGGTGATCTCTCCCAGCATGGTCAGCTCGCCGTTCTGAAGAAGCAGTGAGTCAGGGCCGCTGGCCCTGCCCGTGCCTGCCCACCTGGGGGACCGGGCTTCACCTGGCCCCTCCTCCCTCCCCCTTTCCCCACAGCCAGTGCTGCCGGGGCTGCAGGAGGCCGGGCCTGCACAGCCGGGGGCTGGCGTGACCGTCTGCCAGACCGCATCGGTGACGATGAGCTGAGACAGGCCTTTGGGTGGGAGTGTTTAGCACTGGACACACCCAGCTAGGGACCAGAGAGACTGGCCTTTCTCCAAGGTCACGGGGTCAACCCTGGGCCTGGCCCAGCCTGCTGACACCAAGCACCAAAAAGAACTCACGGCCCAGGAGGTCACAGTTCGATTCCCGGTCCGGGCACATGCCTGGGTTGCGGGCTCGATCCCAGTAGGGGGTGTGTAGGAAGCAGCTGATCAGTGATTCTCTCGTCATTGTTTCTCCCTCTCTCTCCCTCTCTCTTCCTCTCTGAAATCAATAAAAATATATTAAAAAAGAAAAGACGGGCGCATGCTCAGTAGTTCCCAAATCCTGATTCTTGGATGTGGTGATGGCAGCACCCAGGGGACCCCAGCCAGGCCGTGTGGGATGCCTCACAGCCCCGCTGCCCCAGGGACCCACCACCACAGGCTGCAGGAAGGTGATGAAGGTGCAGAAGCGGCCGCGCTCCTCGATCAGGGCCCGGCGCACCGCCTGCTTCTCCGTCTCCTCCAGCAGCAGGTACATGTCATTGACGTCCTGCAGGGCGCTGTCCAGCTGGGGCTGCAGGTCGCCTTTCCCTGGAGGGTGGGGAGGAGAGGCCGTGCTGGGGACCCGGCCCGCTCGCTGCGTCCATGGCTCAGGCCCCGTGGTGTTCCTGGCTGGGGGCTGGGCACTGCCGTGGGGGCCAGGGACCCGGGGAGGGCAGTCAGGACTCTGGGACGTGTAGAGGGGCTGGTCCCCAGAGCAGGCAAAGAAGACAGACAGACACGTACACAGGAAAGACACCAAAGCTGCCAAGCCACCCAGGCCCCGGGGTGGGCAGAGTCCTGGGCAGCGCCAGGGCCGCCCTTGGAACAGCTGTGCTCAGGGGGGCCCTGAGGAGACCTCCACCCCCCAGGACGCTCACTGCCTGCAGGATGGCACCCTCTCGCCTCCTGGGGTACTGGAGGGGGTGGGGTGGGAACAGAGCAAAGTAGAGCATGGGGCTCAGCTGTCCTCCAGGCCCTGGTCAGGAGAGCAGGGGCTGGGCGCCGGGAGCAGGGGAGAGGGGTGTCTCCATGTGGGCCCCCACTCAGCTCAGGGAGCAATGCACAGGACAGCAATGGTGACACCGAGAAGCAGAGAGAGGCGAGAGGATGATGTAGAGGAGCAATGAGACAGGAAGTGGGGGGTGACAGGTAAGAACTCTGGGTGGCAGGCGGGAGGGCGGGGGCAAGGCAGACAAGGCCTGTGCCCCCCACCCAGGGCGGCCCAACCCCTCTTGACCTGGCAGACTGACCCAGCGGTGGCCACGGGGCCCCCGGGGAACTGTGCCCCAGGCCCCTCCCTCGCTAGGCCGACCTCCTCGGCCGGGAGAAGCTCTTTCCAATGGCCCTGAGCTGGGGAGACAGACAAATGCGACGAGGACGGGAGAAGCAGCTGGAGAGATGGACATTTGACTTACCAAGTAGCTCTACAGGAAGGATGTGGAAGGAAGAGGAGAGACAGAGAAAGAGAATGTGTGAAAGACAGCCGATGGACAGAGCCACTCCGGGGCATGGGCGGGGTGGGGGACGCCTGGGCTGGTGGAGCCTCCTGCCACCTCCTGAGAGGGGAGGTTGGGGCCTGGTCTGGGTGCAGGGAGGCTCCCTCTGTCCCACCCAACAGGTCGGAGGGTCCTGTGTCCAGGATAGGGTCCCTCTGGCCAGGATGATGCCCTGGGACACCCCAGAGGGCAGTGGGGTCCATGGAGTGGGGCCCCGGGGGGCTGTGCCTGGATGGGCAGCTCTGGGCTCTACCTTTGCGCGCTTTCTTCTGCAGCTTCAGCGTGTCTGACGACTTCTTCTTGATCTCGTGCCGGGCCCGTTTGTACTCTGCAGGTGACGAGAGGAGAGCTGTGCTGGGTCCCCGCAGGGTGGGGGCGGGCACCCGGCCGGGCCCCAGCCTCACCTTTCGCGTGGTCCTTGTCCAGCTGGTTGACCGACTTCTTCCAGTCCTCGATGCGCTCCTGCAGCGGGTTGATGAGGCTCTCCAGCAGGGCGCTGCGGACACGGGGTGCAAGGTCAGGGCCAGCAGGGGTGTCTCCTGCCGCACCCCTGCCCGCCCGCGGCGCCCACTCACTTGGTGAACTGCCGCAGCTTGGTCTCGATGCTGCGGTGGCGCATGCACATGCGCGTGAGCGCCGAGCCGATGTCCCGTGTGGCCCCTGGCGAGGCAAGCGCGTGGCGTGGGAAAGGGCCCATCGGGACCGCTGCACTCCCGGCCTCGGCCACGAGGGGGCGCGCTGGCCCCGCGAAGGCCAGGCCGTCCCGCCCATCCTGTCCCCAGCATCCCACAGTCCTCCCGGTCCCTGTGTCACCGTGGCAGAACGATCATTCCCCAGTAGCTACCGAGCCCCACCACGGCCCTGCCCATGCCGGCCACGCCAGCCTTCTGCAGCTGCAGGTGCTCTGGTGGTCAGGGGCCCTTCACTCAGCTGGGAGAGGTCAGAACCAAAGACAGCCCAAGAGCCGGCCCAAGTCCCCTCCCCCTACCAGGAACCACCCCAGGGGTGCCCAGATGCAGGTGTGCGAGTGCCAGCCCCAGCCCATTCATTGTCTTGGTTCTCACCACCTGAAGGGACAGGGGACCCAGGTCCCCGCTCCTCAGACCAGAAAGGAGACGCCAGAGCCAACAGGAAGGCTCAGCTGCCCCTGTGCCCTCTGAGGGCAGATGAGGGGGTGATAAGTCACCGTCCTCAGACTCACTGAGCAGAAGGGTGAACGCCTGTGGCCGAGGGGCCAAAGGGGCGCCCCCAGCAAGAACGGAGGCCCCTGTGCCCCCCTGTCCCCGTCTCCCACTCCTGCTTGCAGCCTCTAGTGACAAGAGGCTCCCTTTCTCAACAGCCAGCCCCTTCCGCGAGGGAGCAGAGCTCAAGATCCCGACCCTGGGCCCGGTGTCCTCTCCCTGGCTCACAGTCCAGCCTGAGCCTAACCCAGGGCCCCCCGACCTCCAGCCGTGCCTCTCCCCACCTCGGGTGTTGGTGGCCATATCGGCCACTTTCTGGAAGGCATCCAGGAAGGCCACAGCAGCCAGCACAGTGGTCCTGGGGAGATGGACAGTGGAGGGTCTGCTGTGAGGTGTCCTCACTTCCCCTGCCCCCCCCCTCCCCCAGTCGGGGCGCCCTCAGCAGCCTCACCTTAGCTGGGAGTGCAGCTTCGTGGCCTTGGAGTTGAAGTCCTCCCAGATGGGGTAGGAGCTCTGCGGGGAGATGGGGAGGAAGTGAGACGTCACAGGGCTGCAGGGCTCCCTGTCCCGGGAGAGGGAGGCCCCTGGGCCCCTGGCGGGACAGAGGACCCAGGACAGAGCCCGGAGCAGGAGGAAGTCCTGGCCCTGGAACCGATGCCTCTGTGCCTCCCTCCTCCCTGACAATCAGGAAGCTCGGCCTCCTGCCTACAGTCACATCCTCCCTCAGGGAGGTGAGAACAGTAAATGGCAGGTCCTGTGTCCTCGGGGCTCCCCCGGGCCTGGCAGGGGATTGGGGCTGAGCCCCATGAGGGCACCATGTTGCCCCGGACGTGGCCCTGGCTGCTCCCCATGGCACCGGACAGAGGCACCGTGTAGGGGGCAGGGCTCCAGGCACTCCAGGTCTCTATTGGGGCCCCTGAGGGCGCTACTCTGTGCCCTGGAAGCTGCTGCCAGCCCGGCCAGCAACCACCCGGCCGGCAGTAGTGGCTCCCAGGCCCGGGGAGGGTGTGACAGCCGCAGGGCCCGGCCAGCCTGGCCGGGACAGCCAGGCCCTGGGCTGAATGGGGCCTTGTGCGGCCAACAGAGCCACCTTTCTCCACCCCCGGCTCCCCTCCCTCCCCTCCTGGGGACACAGTGTGGCCTTTATCCCAGCCTGGCCCAAAGCTCCAAGTTGGGGGGGGGGGTTCCCAGTAGGGAGGCCAGGCTCCTGGCGACCGAGCTGTCCAGTCTAATCAAGGGGCTCTTCCGGCTGACGTGCCTTCCCATGGCCGCTGGGTCCTGGCCCAGCAGAGCCCCAGCCCCGAGGGTCTCCAGCCCTCCCTTTCCGTGTGGGATGAGGCGCTGTGGCCTGATCCCAAGGAAAAAGGGAAGGCAGAGACCCTGCCCCGGCTCCCAGGGAAGCTTCGCTGGGCCGGGACCCCAGGGGCAGCTCTGAAATGGCCTCTTCACCGAGGACAGCCTGCAGGGGTGGACAGGAGACAGGGCAGCCTCTGGGAGCCTCAGAAACTCCCTCCCCTCCCAGCCCAGCCCAACCAGTGCCCAGGGAAAGCAAATATTTGAGAAGTTCACACAGGCTGGAGGGGGAGGGGGAGGCTGTGGGTGGGCTGTCACCACTGGGCACAGCTCAGGGGCAAGGGTCCTCCCTGGCAGGCCCGAGGAGCGGACCCTCCCCTTGGCACCCCTACCATCTGCACCCCTCCAGCCCCGAACGAAGGCTTGCTGAGATGAGACCTCCAGGGAGGAAAGACGATGCGAGGTGGGGGTGGGTGTGTGTGTGGGGGGAGTGCAGTGGTCCAGAGGCCGCCATCCTGGCCGCCAGGAAACCCCTACAGGCCCCGCAGCAGCCCCTGGGCAGCCCGAGAGAGCAAGGGACTAGGTGAAACCCGGCAGAGAAAAGTCCGTCCTCCCTACAGGGCTGAGGCCCATCTCGACAGCTTCGACCCAGCCAGGCTCACTCCACCTCGGACCTTCCCAGCCTCGCTCTCTCGTGCAGAGGGGATAAGACGGGGCATGGGGAGGCCAGGCCCAGTTCCTCCTCAGCAGCTGGACCGAGGACTCCACCCCCACTGGTAATTCATAAAGGACCCCCGAGATGAGGATCTGAGGGGCCGGAGCAGCCAGTGCCCCAGGAGCGTGTCCTCAGGCTTCCCTGGGCCCGCGCCTGGCTGCAGGTCTAAGACGCTGGGATGTTCCCACTAGGGAGTGTGACCGCGTGCTTGCGGTGCGCTGAGCCCTGTCACCGTGGGATCGCATCGAACCCTCCCACCGGCCCTGTGAAATGAATACTGACCGCCCCCATTCTAGAGATGAGAGGCTCAAGGGATGAAGGTTAGACTGGCCCGAGGCTGCCGAGTGGCAGTCAGGATCCGATCCCTGTCTGACGGGTCCCTGCGGTCAAGGTAGAGGCCGCGGGGAGATGAGTATCTGGGCCTCAGGGTGGGGAGAGGGCAGGGACTGCAGGGACGGGAGAGACCCCGCTCTGCCTCCAGCACAGTGGGCGGCTACTCAGGAAGGGGAAGGTGATGTGCTGGTCACCAGAGGTGTCCAAGTGGGAGGGATGAGACCCATGAGGAGGCTGCTGGGGACCCTGGCCCTCAGAGACTCTTTCTGGGTGCTGGACGTGGTCCTAGCGTTGGCTGTGCAGGTGAGCGACCCAGGCTACAACCCCCGAGAGAGGGTTTTCCGGGTGACCCTGGGCCAGGGACCCCTCTCTGAGCCTCAGCCTCCTCACCTGTAAGATCAGGATGGGAAGTATACCTCCTTCGGGGGTCAGCGTAGAGCAAAGTGTAGAGCAAGCATGTCAAACTTGCCTCGTTTATTTTGAATGAGGCATGCAGCCCGTCCGGCCGCGAGTTTGACATGGTTGGAGAGACTCGAGGAGGCACTGCCTGGAAAGCACTTAGCATGCGCCAACACCTAGTAAGTGCTCAGGGAATGCTGGCTAACGGGGACATGGGATCCCTGCCTCCCCGCCAGGAGCCCAGCCAGGGCCTCTGGTCTGGGTGACACTCACCACTCCTGAGAGGGCAGGCAAAAGTTACGACCCCGTTTTCTGGATGGGCCAGGGCTGGGAGGAGGCCCCATGCACTTGGCTGAAGGTGCTGCCCGGGCAGGTGGGGACTGAGCAGAGCCCAGGTACTGAGCCCAGTCCTGCCATTTTAGGCAAGTCCCTGCCCCCCTCTGGGCTTCAGTGGGCTTCCTGGCACCAAGTGGGCATCTGAGCTGAGTCCAATGAGGCACAGCCAGCGGGGAAAGCTCCTGAGGGCCCCCTCCCCACCCTTGAGTGGGTGCCCGCCTCCACACCCTTCCAGCTCCAGGTACCGCTCGGGGAGCCCTTCCCTCCGGCCCTCAAGCCAAGTGTGGGCCTTCAGAAGGGCCAGGGCGGGCTGTTGTGGGGCCAGTGGAGAAGCCTCATGGGGCAAGGTCAGTCTCTTGACATGGCCGCCCTCCGTGGAAGAGCCAGAAGCTGTCCCCTAAAGCCAGGTGACGGGCCTCCAGGTGGCCCAGTCCCCTGCTCTGTCCCTGGCCGGAACATATGCATGTGTCACAGGCAGGGGAATATCTGTGCTTGGCATCGCCCCAGGTGAAACCTCTCCCGTTCTGCCTCCACGTCAGAAAATCCTGCCTGAACCTCTAGCTACAACCTGGGCCCGTTTGCTTCTGTCTTGTCCCCAAGTTCCTTGCAAATACCCTGGAGAGGGAGAGAGGCAGTCCCACCGCTCTTCTCGGAGCAAGAGCTGCTGCTCTCTGCAGTGTTTTGGAGAGGCTGCCGGCAGGAGGGGGTGCCAGCCCTGGGAGTGGCTGGGGGAGGGGGGGAGGGTGGTCCGGGCTGCCCGGTCCCAGAAGGAGACCCTGGTGCCAGGGCTGTGATGCCCACAGGGCAGGAGGAGCTGCTGAAGGCAGACAGAGGCCAGCACCCCATATGGGGGTAGGGGGCACCCCCATGCTGCCTGCCCGTGGTCCCCGGCCAGGGGGCTTCAGGCCTCTTGTGGGGAGCAGGTCTCTGGCATGCCTGTCACCCCCACCTCCGGAGGGCCTGCTTGAGCACAGCCGGGCCGGCTGCACCTCCGTGAGTGGTGTTTCCCCCCGGGCCTGTGATGTCACCTTGGTTGTGTGGTTGCTTGGAAGTGTGAAAAGCTGGGAGGGTGGGGGCTCTCAAAATTTCCGTGGGAACCCAGTTCTTTCCTCCCCCACCCCAAAGGAGAAGGGCGGGAACAGCTCCTGACCCCCTCCCGCCACTGGAGCTGCCCCCTCCTCCCCCCTGTCGGCCCCAGCCAGCCCTGCCACCCGGCCTCTTGGGGGAAGGATGCCCCTGGCCTCCTAGATGGACAAAGAGGGGTGAGGTCAGGGACAGTGTCTAGCCGTCTCCTAAATGACCCTTGAGTCATGCCCCAGCCTCAGTTTCCCCGCCTGGTGAGCCAATGGTGGGCCCGGAGCCAGTGGCCTGCTCCAGCCTGACTTGGGCAATCCTGGGGAGGGGCTGGGGCTGAGGCCCGGGTGGAAGCAGGGTAGGGAAGGCCCTCCCTTGGGGTTGCTCTGCCAATCCCAACCTTCTCCGCTCCTCCTCCCACGGTAAGGACAGAGGCCTCGGTACGCTGGGACACTCAGCCTGGGAACCTTGGAGTTCTAAAGCTTGTTCTGGGGGGCCGGGTCCGGGTCCGGGGGGTGACAGTTACAGGGTCGGCACAGAGGCCAAGGCCGGTGGGGAAGGAGTTAACGGTTCTCCGCTTGATTATTTTCCCTGCTTTGGTGGTGACAGTATGGACGGGGCTTCAAGGCCAGCCTTTGAGGTATGGGGGGGCCAGGGTGGTGGTAGGGGGCGGAGGCCGGAGAGACCCGGACCTGCTAAAGGTCCACAGAGGCACCCCAGGAGCCAGACCTCATTCATGGTGTGAAGGTCTGGGGCGCAGGGAGCCCGGGTGCGCGCAGGCTCCGCGGGCGAACCCCTGGGGGCGCTGCGCTTTGGGTGACCCAGAGCATGGACCCTGGGGACCACACGGACACCCCGACACACGAGCACCCACACCCTCAGGCAGGCGGCCGGGGACCCGGGCGCACGGCAGACGCAGGCCAGCCAAGGACACACAGACCCCGCGGCGCACAGACACAGCGGGCCACGGCGGCCGCCGCCGCGCGCCCCCAAGGGGACCCCACGCCCGCGCCCGCGCCCCCCGTTACCTTCATGTCGTTGACGATGGCCTGGAAAAGCTGGCGGGAGCGCCGGATCCACCGCCACCGTCTAATTTGGGCAAGCGAGGGGGGTATGTCTGGAGTTGAGTAGAAGGAAAGCAGGCGGCGGACTGGGTGTGTGGGGGGATCCATAACTAAAGAAGTCCACAACGAT